CTTCTCCAGGCTGAGGAGGATCCTGGTTCTGGACTGGATCTTCATTCGGTGTCCTGGTCCTAAACTTTCTGCAGAGATAAAGCATTGACTGATAATGGCACCTCTCTTCTCAGCACTTTTAAGGTGTTTCAAGGGCTTTATTCTTCAAGACTGAGTAATTAAAGTTCCGTACATGGAAAATGCACTTTGAATGTTGTACAATCCAGTCTCAGGGCAATTCGTGAAATAGTCACAAAACTAAATCTATTTAGTTGTGTCCTGGGAGACGATTTGCCCACTTTTTCGTGTCCCCCACCACAAATTTCAACCCAATACGTTTCAACTGGAATTATCTTTCATGTCTGGGCCACATTTTTTTCCCATTAGACAACGCATATACTGTGATGTTTTTGTCGTTCTTTCCTTCCAACAGTCAGGCATTAACCAGTTTTCCTGTTATGGCCCGTCCACACTAGTAGCTACAGAGATCACTATACAGATGTGTGCGCCCACACTGACCAACGTCAACATTTTGTAAACATCGGCACTGAGCAGCTACTGTGTGTTTTGTTTTGTACTCTGTTTGGGCTTCATGCTTGTTGTTACTTTCATTTCTCTGTAAACAAATACAACTCTGATAAAAAGGACACATGCAGGAAAACGGCGACCGGAACATGTACTGTGATCTCAGTGATGGATAGTCTGACGACTGTAACTGAGAGGCCAGCGATGAGGAATGTATCTGTAGCTTTGTGAAGCTTTTAGCTCACTCGTTGAGGCTGGCTACATTAGCTGCTAGCTAAGCCTAGCTGAAATTTCATTTCCCCTATAAATGTCAATTTCATTTGTAAAGTCAGTCTATCAATTTAAACCTCTAAATGCACTTAAAGTTTTATATCTCACCCTCCATGTGGGAGAAACGGCTATTTTGAAGAAACAAATACGACTTCCAGTGATTATTAGAAGACTGGCTGACACCTGTGGGCTTCCTGCTTCTGCCACCTGTGAGTTCCTGAGGAGTGGCTGATTGGCTCGCGCTCTGGCTAGTTGTCCAATCAGGGTAGAGGATACTCCTTTATAAGCCCTCCTGCTCCTTCGTTTGCTCTCTGCCTCTTGCTTGTTGTCAGCTTTGAAGGTTTGTGGTGGGAAGGTTTTCAGCTGAGGTAAGATTAGGTACCCTGTACATGTGCACACGTAGTTCACTTTTTGTTACTGCACTAGGTTATGGGTTGATGCCACTATTGTAGGTTTTGTTTTTCCGTCACTGTTAGACCAGACAGCCAGGCCTTTTGTTTTCCTTTTCTTTCATTACAGGAAGATTTGAGTTGGGCCCTGTTGTGTTGTATTTTATTTCTCTGATTTGGCACAACCCCACAGTTGACCCTTCCCCCACACTTTATTGAAACGTTCATTTGATTTGTTCAACATGTTCAACATAGCAGTGTATTTAGTAGTAGTTCTGTCGTAAATGCAAAAAAAAAAGGCATGAAAGGAGGACAATTGTTTTGATAGGGGAAAAAAAACTGTATGCATCCTTTTTAAAAAACCAGTTTGTCCGGACTTTGTCACCTGTAAATACATTTCCTGTCCTGTCAACAACCAGAAATGATGAACCTACAATTTAGTAAAAGAAAGAACCGATTTTTTTTATTTTATTTTAAGCTGTGATGTTTCATGAGATCTTGAACTATATTTTACCTCCATCTGCTGGCTCTTTGGGCTCATAACAAGCAACAGGATCCATCACGTTGCTTCGCTGACAGTGCATTGTGATTGTTTTCAAATCTGTTGAGACTCTTTGGTTCCCCTACTTCTGAGATTTTTTTTTTTTTTTCGTCTTGTCAAATTCTGGCCAGGTCTGGTTCCTGCTCTGCCTCTGCATCCTGTCTGTCCTGTTCCTGACCTTCATCAACCATAAGTAAGAAGTTCAGAAGTCATACTTATGTACGGAACCCCTGAGTGGCCAAAGAGGGGGGGAAAAAAATGCATGGGAACTTAGGGGTTCCACACTTATCAGATAAGGTCTACTGTTTATTTCCTGAATGCAGTGCACTACAACACACAATAACTGGTACAGAGTTACAAAGTTTTAACTGTATAACTCTCACATGTGTATCGTTGCTGGACAGTTATGCATCAATGACATATTTCTGATGTTTTAATACTTGTATTGCAACAGTAAAAATATGAAATTAAGCAGAAAACAGTGTTAAATATTTTATGTATTTTTGCACAAAACTGAGCAACTTTTTAAGCAATCAGCTAGGCAATAAAGAAGCAAAGATTAAGTGTGAAATAGGTATTTTGTACGCACAAAAGAGAAATAAGGCTTCCAAAACAACTCCAAATACATTAACATTGTACAGCAATGAAGGATGTTATCTTATGGCTACATACCAAACCAGACAGAGTAAACTGACATGAGTGGCTGGTGGCTTTTTCCCAGTTACGGAAATCAAACAAAATTATGCTCGGCTGTTATACTCTCATTTGTTTAAATTTATATTTGTTGTGTGTCTTCTACTTCCTGTCCAACATATCTCTTCTTCCTTATTAAACTTCAACCTGAATTCCCTTCTTGTCAGCTCAGCAGACTGAACAGAGCTTCTCAAAGTCATTCATTCTCTGTGCGATTTGTCCTCATACGCTGCGTAACTTTGAAGATGAGCCACCTATATGGGTAAAAAACATAAATGATGTAACTGCATTGAGATATGTATAAAAAAAGAAAAGGGAAGCAGAAGAACAGTAAAGATAAGATACTGCCAAAAGGCTTTGTGAGAACTTACAAAACAATTTGCAGAAGCTCCTCGAACCTCTCCTCCGAGCTGAACATGATACAGGGCAGAAGTCATGATGTTGCTGTCGTCCAGGTCCTCGTCTGGGGTCCTGGTCCAGTGTCCTCTGCAAAGATCAAATTTAGATCGATAATGACACCATATAACGCTTTCTTGTTAATGTTTAGTGACTATCTATACATTTTTCAATGAGGTAGAAAAGAGGTTCAGGCAGAAACATATGGGAGCACAATAAAGTTTTAATTTCTCTAAAAGTTCCTAAATTTCAAACCAGCTACCGCAAGTAAAAGCCCTGCATTAAAAAATCCATAAAGTAAAAGTGAAGAGGTATTATCAGCTAAATAAAGTGAATGTGTCAGGAGAAAAAGTAAGCATTCTGCACAAGAGTATGATCTAATATTATTACTATATTTATTGGGCTGCAACAAACCATGAATTCCATCGCTGATTATTCTGCAAATTAGATTATTCATTAATCACTTATGTGTTTGGTCTATAAAATGTAGAAAAACAAAAACCATTGGTTAAAAAGAATTCACAGCTGTTCAGAGTACTATTTTATAGAACATGAAAAGCAAAAACATTTGATAAGTAGCAAGCACCAAGTGTTTGGCATTTTATCTTGATGGATGCCTGAGATGAACATTTATTAACACACTGCAGCTGATTAATCTGATTAAAAAATTCTTCATGATGATGAATCAGCTTATTTTCTCTTGCAGTAGAATGTCTCCTCTTCCTCACTTCTTTCTACTCTAATGCTATCTTTTTTTTTTTTGTGCCATCCGCTGACTCTCTTCTCTGTCATTTCCTGGTTTCTTCTCTCTGTGAATTTGTCACCCTCTTCCGTTCCTTCCCGTCTCTACAGTCCCTCTCTCCATCTCTGCCTTCTGTACATGATATGTGAAAGGACGTACATGTTGTCGCAGTAGGCAACAAGCAAATAATCAATTTACCAGTAATTGTTGGTATTTAAAACATGGCTGAAATATCTAAATTCTTCCTGTATGTGCAGAGTTATACAACACAAACAGATGGAAAACTTCTAAACATGTTGAATTTATTTGCTTGTACTGAATGACTGTTTTCACCAGAGTTTTGCTTTAACACAGCACCTATTAATAAACTTGTAAACACCACCTCCCTGATTTTTATGTTGTTCAAAACTCAGTGCAAATGTATATCCTCAATAGTAGTGATTTATGTATCATACTTATACATATTATTGACACATTCTGACTTAGACCAGAAATAAATCTTGTTTTCATGAGACAAATCTGCCTTAATGACAAGAAAGCTTTATAACTTAAAATAAGCAACTATGTTCTTGTTTGGGGAGCAGCAATAAATTATTTTAATGGCCAATGTTTTGGCTTTTCAAAGCAGGAAAAGCACAGTTAATGTTACAAATGCCACTTGCATTTCGTTTTGGTGACACAGTTTTATCATTTTGTGCACTAACTCACTCACTGGGACTCTGCTGTGATGCATCACTTCAATACAAAACTTGAACGAAGCTACTGTTAAATGTGATATAATTACTTTTGGGGATTCTAGTAGTTTCAAGGACAACAGATGTTTACAGACCAAATACTGAATGTTATCCATACGCAGAACGAGTCAACATATCAATTTGATGATGCATGTCCACGCTGATACATGAAGAAGTTTTAATTAGAGTTTTTTTAGGAGTTAAAATACGAATGATTTTTTGTGTGTATAAGTGATTTTACAAGTTGTTAGCTGTAATTTAACAAGGCGGGGGAGGGGGCTGTAAAATACGAGTAACATATTGTTTTAGGTAAGATTAAAAATATATTAAATGTTTTTTTGTCTGTTTGCTTTCCTTGCCTTTCTGCCAAGATATGATTTGTTTTAAATGGTAAATGAAAGTTCAGAATTCATTTGTGGTATTCACACTGATCAAAAGATATTTCAATATATTCAACACAGCTAGT